CTAATGTCCCTTTATAGCATTCAGACTATTGATTGTAAAATTGATTCCATTTTTATAGGTCACTCTCTTCTGGGTTATAATTTTTAAAGTTTGTAATTTTATGTCAATAATTTTATTTTTATCTCATTTTAGTCTCTCAGCGTGATTCTTTATTTTTACTTCCACAATTGAAACGAAATAAACAAATAAAACAAACATTAAAATAAGAATTAAACTGTCCAATAGCCAACACCTTCTGGGCAATTTATAATAAAGCACACTAAATAAATACAATCTAAAGTAATAGGCATGCTGAATAAAATGAAAAAAAAAAAAATCAAAATGCCCTATAAACTAGGTATGGTAGTCATTCAAAGGCTTAGAATTAAAAGCATGCAATTAAAAACATATTTACCTGGTGCCAAAATATGCTAAGATGGATGCAGTGGTGAAATCCAAATTTTTTTACTACCGGTTCTGTGGGCGTGGCTTAATAGGCATCGTGTGGCTTAGTAGGCATGGCTTGGTGGGTGTGGCAGGGGAAGGATACTGCAAAATCTGCATTCCCACCCCACTCCAGGGGAAGGATACTGCAAAATCTCCATTCCCACCCCACTCCGGGGCCAGCCAGAGGTGATATTTGCCGGTTCTCCGAACTACTCAAAATTTCCGCTACTGGTTCTCCAGAACTTGTCAGAACCTGCTGGATTTCACCCCTGGATGGTGAAATTGAGGTTTTCTGGGGAAGGCATTTCCTAAATGGGGTGCCAGCACAGAAAAATCTCTCCCTCTTATTCTTATCCACCTCATTTCTTTTGATGGGTTGGCCTCATTAGAAGGTCTAAAAGTCCAGGTAGGTACACATTGGAGGAGGTGTTCCTTCAGGTAACTTGAGGGCATTCTGGTAACTTGAGTTGGCTGCCAATACAGAAATAGCTCTTCTTGTAGAGGTTCACCTGACCTCTCTTAGTGATGAGGCCTGGAAGTGGGCTTTAGTTAATCTTCTTTAAGTCCAGGCAGATACATATGAGAGGAGTTACTCAGCGTTTGATGAACTTCTACCCAGAACTAACCAGCTCCAATTCTGGCTTATGAAATCAAGCAAGCTCAGATAGCATTGCCACCTAAGTTGGACAAAAGGGACATATGAAAAGAAGATCTGGATGGCTTTTTTGTTTGTTTGCTTTTTTTTTCTTAATAAAGACATTATAGAATTCTCTGGAAATCTAACCGAGTTTAGAATTAAATCAGATTGTAGGCATGTAAAACTGAACCATGCTGACATAATGGAATGGAATGGAATAGAATTAGAATTAATAGAATAGAATAGAATAGAATAGAATAGAATAGAATAGAATAGAATAGAATAACAGAGTTGGAAGGGACTTTGGAGGTCTTCTAGTCCAACCCCCTGCTTAGGCAGGAAATCCTATACCAATTCAGATAAATGGTTGTCCAATTTCTTCTTAAAAACTTCCAGTGTTGGAGCATTCACAACTTCTGGAGGCAAGTTGTTCCACGGATTAATTGTTCTGTTAGGAAATTTCTCCTTAGTTCTAAGTTGCTTCTCTCCTTGATTAGTTTCCACCCATTGCTTCTTGTCCTGCCCTCAGGTGCTTTGGAGAATAGTTTGACTCCCACTTCTTTGTGGCAGCCCCTGAGATATTGGAACACTGCTATCATGTCTCCCCTAGTCCTTTTTTTCATTAAACTAGACATACCTAGTTCCTGCAATCGTTCTTTCTATGTTTTAGCCTCCAGTCCCCTAATCATCTTTGTTGCTCTTCTCTGCACTCTTTCTAGAGTCTCCACATCTTTTTTACATCGTGGCAACCAAAACTGAATGTAGTATTCCAAGTGTGGCCTCATTCATCCTTCCTTGGCATAAACATTGTTGAATTCCCAATAAAGCTACCATGGATTGTTTCAGACATTTGTCAAAACTAAAGGCTATATATATATCCACATCTGCATACCTGAAGCAACTTTTTTTTTTGAAAGTTGATTATGATAACGAAAGCTGCTAAAATTATCCTTCTTACAGTAAGTTGTTTATTTACATTAATGGATGTGACTAAAAGAAGCCATGTAATGTAATTTTCTACAACTCATCTGCGAAAATACAATCAGATTTTTCAACCTTATAATTAGGGAAAAACCTGCTAGGAATAAATTTGGTGCATCTTTAAATTAACATACCAATAAATGACTGTTCATCACAATTTTCAAAATTTGCATGTCTAGGAGTCCTTTAAAAAGATGAGAAAAGAAGTCTTGCAATTTTGTGTTTTCTGTCTGGAAACTTAATACCAATAAGAGCCTTGGTGGTGCAACAGACTAAAGTGCTGTTAAGTAGCACCAGCTGCCTGCATTTACTGCAAGTTCAAATCTCACTAGGCTCAAGGTTGACTCAGCCTTCCATCCTTCCAAGGTAGGTAAAATGAGGACCCGGATTGTGGGGGCAATAAGCTGACTTTGTATAAAGAAGAACACCGCTTGGGGGGGGGCGAAAGCCCTACTAAGCAGGTATATACAAAAGTATGAAGGCTATTGCTTAACGCATTGTAAGCCGCCCTGAGTCTCCAGAGAAGGGCGGCATATAAATCGAACCAATAAATAAATAAATAAATAATAAATACTACAGTGAGAAGTTAAAATATTTCAAAATAGTGAAAATGTGTATTTTGTCTAAAAGTAAAATTAAGCTGTGTTTTGAAGCAAGTTGATAATTAACATTAATTATTACATTCTGGAACTAAAAAAAAATCTATTTTAATTGTATAATGTTGTCTTTATGTTGTGTACCTCCAATTACTAATTGGCTAGGTAAAGGTAAAGGTTCCCCTCGAACATATGTGCTAGTCGTTTCAAAGCCGAAGAGTCAGCACTGTCCAAAGACGTCTCCATGGTCATGTGGCTGGCATGACTCAATGTCAAAGGCGCATGGAACGCTGTTACCTTCCCACCAAGGTGGTCCCTATTTTTTTACTTGCATTTTTTTTTTACGTGCTTTCGAACTGCTAGGTTGGCAGAAGCTGGGACAAAAAACGGGAGCTCATCCCGTTACGCAGCACTAGGGATTCGAACCGCTGAACTGCCGACCTTTCGATCGACAAGCTCAGCATCTTAGCCACTGAGCCACCACATCCCTTGAACTAATTGGCTAAGGAGGCCATAGAAAAGACAAAGCCAGTATTTATTTATTTTTTAATTTGATTTATATCCCGCCCTTCTCCGGAGACTCAGGGCGGCTTACAATGCATTAAGGATTGAAGGATCTGAAGAACTTAAAAGCGAAAAAAAGTCACGAACATTATTTTGACTTTCAAAACTTTATATTTCAGATGCTGTAAAAGAAAAAAAAAGAGTCAAATTCACATTGGCAATTTAGGATTGCAATGTAGGTGCCAGTGTGATGTGATTCAGGAATTGTCTCAGTAACAAAGGTTAGCTGTAGCAAGAATTGATTTCAGAAATTTAGCAGGAACAGAGATAGATTTTTAGATATTCTCTTTTTACTATTCACTTCAACATCGCATAACCTAGCAGCCAGGAAAAGAGGGAGGGGGAATTCTCAGAGAATAAAACAGTCAGTGAAATATGTATCATCTTTTTATTTATTTATTTTGCTGGATCATTTCACACATTGCATTGATCATGTTATGCAACTAATAGGTTTGGGATGTACCTCTCAAAAGATAAAGAGTGTTGCTCCCAAATGGAACTATATCTTCCATCTGCAGATATGCAACTACAGGTAGTCCTCAACTTACAACAGCTCATTTAATGACCGTTCAATGATCCCTGAAAAAAGATGACTTATGATCGTTTTTCACACTTTATGACCATTGTGGCATCTCCATGGTGATTTACATTTGGATGCTTGACAAATGACTCACATTTATGACAGTCTCAGTATCCCAGGGTCATATGACCTTCTGACAAGCGAAGTCAATGGGGAAACCAGATTCACTTAACAATTGTGGCAAGAAAAGTTATAAAATAGGACAAGGCTCACTTAACAAATTTCTCACTTAACAACATAAATGTTGGGCTCAATTGTGGTCATAAATTGAGGACTACCTGTACACTGATCTGCACCATTACCTGGAGGAGTGTTCATATCTTGGCTGAATTTTGATGATAAGAACTCAACTGAAGAAGTTGGCATGATGTGATTAAGTGTCATTCATCCGGGTAATGGGGTATTACCTTGACGCTTGCCAGTTCATGCCATGCCCTTTCCTCCCAGTTCCTTTGTGTAGTGATGATCTAGGTCTTGGGGTTTAGTGATACTAATCAGGAAGAAAACTTTGTGTGTTTGTTTATGTTTATGTTTATTATATTTGTATACCACCCTTCTCCTGAAGGACTCAGGGCGGTGAACAGCCAGCAGATAAAATACAAAAAATACAAAATTTAAAACAGTATTAAAATCCAATTAAATTAATTTGGCCCACAGTTAAAACACCCCTATATTAAAACCCATAATTTAACAATTTAAAATTAAAACAATTTTAAAAAGTTAGGTCAGGTCAGCCCGGCTTGATGAAACAGAAACGTCTTTAGGGTACGGCGGAAAGTGCGCAGATCCGGGATCCGCCGTATCTCCGGGGGCAGCTTGTTCCAGTGTGCCCCTAGTTCAAGACACCTTCCCTAGATCCTAAAGTATTTAATATTTTACCCATCAGACTGTAACCTTCCATTCTAGGAGAAACTTATTGTTGTGGATTCAGTTACTGAACATTCCAGAGGAAATGGGTTATCTAGACCCCTATAATTAAGGTTTATACCCAGACAATAAACTGGCAACTTGATGGGTGAGATGGGTAACACACCTCTCTTGGTCCTTCTAGAAATCTTGGCATACCATCAACCATGTATCTTCCAGGACTCTTTGTGGGACCCAATATTCCATTTAGGAACAGCATTCTGCATTCATTCTATTTGTACTCTTCTGGTGGGAGAAAAGTTGGCCTACTTCCAGAGTCCTACAGGAGAAGATTGTCTTCCATCTCCTGTACAACCCCCATATGAAGAATTCATTTGGTGGTATAGCATATGGTACCATTATAAAAGGATCTTGGAAGTCTTCTAATCCTAAAGTATGTAGATATTCTCAGTCATCCAGGTCATGGTTGTCCCAAAGGTGCTTTTTCAGGAGGCAACTGGACTTTCTCGTTTTTTCTTTAAAGGTGTTTCGCTTCTCATCCAAGTAGTTTCTTCAGCTCTGACAGGGAATGGAAGGGTCTTCTAATCCTACTGAGGGCAGGAATCTTCAGACAATCCCAGAAAATTAGCTATCCAATATTTGAGAACCTCCACTGATGTACCCATAACTCCAGGAGGTAAGCTGTTCTACTATTTAATAGTTTCCACAGTCAAGAAGTTGCCTCTTATTTCATGATTATGTGTTCCATGCATTGATTCTTGTCCTATCTTCAAGCATCTTTCTATTTATATATTGTTTTTGTATTCCTATGCCTTCAATTCATTGTTGACTCCTGGAGGCTGCCCATAAAAGCCCTTGCTCTTTTCTTTTCAAGAGTTTGGAAGTGGTTTGCCATTGACTTCTGAGGTCTTAGAGACAGTGACTAGTCCAAAGCCATACAGCTGGATTCAAGTCTAAGGACTAGAATACACAGTCACCAAGTTTCTAGCTTGGGGGGTTTTCCGGAAGCGACGCGGCGTGACTGGTTGGGAAAATACCAGGCTCCGATGAGCCTGGCGAAACCCAGCCAGACGAACCATCGCCAGGGGGTCTTCAGACTGGATCTGTCCTGTAGGGACAGTGAAGAAGGAGAGGCAGCTCGGTAGCTAAAGAGGAACAGGCAAGTTCCTTGGAAAGCCTGAGAAAAGCTCTTCGATCCGGCCATGGGGGCGGCGATCAGTGTGAATCGCCATGAAGCCGGAGAATCCGGAATAAGCGTTGTGCAGGAGTGAAGATTTGGACAGAGTACTGGTACTGGGTGAGTGATTGGCCAACTCACAGGTAATAAAAGAAAATTTGGAAAATTTTAGAGTTACCCCGGTGTGGAAATAGCGGCTAAATAGCGACGGGGGAGACAATGGACAGAAACTACGGAAGTGACAAGCACTCTATAGGAGAGCACAACTAAAGATTTAAAATTGAATGTGAATGAAAATGTAAAGTTGGAATTTGGACCAAGTTTCTAGCCTTGTGCCTTCACTACCACACCAAGTTTCTATGTTCAGGCACTACAGGGAGTAAATCCACGCCCACTTTCCTTTTTTTTTTTTTTAATTTGATTTATATGCCGCCCTTCTCTGGAGACTCAGGGCGGCTTACAATGTGTTAAGCAATAGCCTTCATACTTTTGTATATTTATACAAAGTCAGCTTATTGCCCCCACAAACTGGGTCCTCATTTCACCTACCTTAGAAAGGATGGAAGGCTGAGTCAGCCTTGAGCCTGGTGAGATTCGAACTTACAGTAATTGCAGACAGCTGGTGTTAATCACAATGCTTTTAGTCTGCTGAGCCACCAGGCACTTTCCTTGGTAGCTCTTCACATGTTGGAAAACATGATTCTCCATCATCCACTCTTTAAGATAACCTACTCTTCTTTTGACCATTGTCCTTGACATTTTTCCAAAATGCAGTGGCCTTGTTTTTGAAGGATGCTTATTTTGATGATCACATAACTTCTATTTTGCAGGCCCTGCATTGGTAACCACTAAGCTTCTGAATGCAATTCTAAATGCTAGTCTTGACTTATAAAGTCTACATTGCTTGGCACTTTGGTACCTATAGGACTATATACGCCAACCAGAGTCAACTCATCCAAGGAAGACTTTCCGAGAAATGCTGCTCATGGTATTCCACTTTCATGATGTGAGAAAGGATGACACAAGAAGGTGAAGCTTATCTATTAAGACATCAGTGCTCTGGAATATCCTGCAGGCAAAATTTGGCCTCTTTCAGCACTGGCTTTCCAGAAGTTACTGAAGATGAACTTTGTTGAATGATTCTTCACTATTAGCTTTATTATATTTATTCATTTATACTTGCTATTTTATTTGGTTTATTAGGGTATATTGTTTGAGGATATTATTTGGGATTATGGATTAAATTTCTCATTTCTTATCAAGAAAATTTTACTCTTTTTTTAAAAAATATAACTTTAAGCTTAAGGAATCTGGAATAATTGTGGTATGCAGATGTTGCTGTTATTATTATTGTTTTTTGTTGCACACTCAGCCAGATGTTCAGACTGGATTGGGTATTTTTTTCCACCTACTGAATCCTTCCCAAGAACCTGAGACAGGCAGATGTTGTCGTTTGATGAGTTAAAGGTATCATCACAGGATGTAAGCTGTTCCAAGTAAAGTTGCTTTTTGCAATTGATTGATGGTGAATTTGTCAATACCATTTATTATAGTTTCTTGCACAGTCAGCCAGATGTTCAGATTGCAATTATTATTGGTATTATTAGGAATTAAATCAATGGCCAACTTATATTTGATAATTCAAAGGATAGCATCAGAGATTCATCCATCAACACACTCTGTATCTAGTCTTTTGACAGAACAATATACTGACATTTTTATAAACAATTTGGGCTGAGTCATTCCATTAACAATGGTCTTTGAAATCCAGGTGAGAATTTTAAGAGGGCTGACAAACATGAATCTACTCTTCCTATGAGCACTTAGAGGCTCAACTGGACGTTTCCCCCCCTTTTTAGCAAAACTCTAATAACAGATAATACCCAATTTCTCAGAAATTACATAATGAAGAATAAGTGCAGCTACATAAGTGATGCTCAGAATAAACACATCAGCTTTTCATCCAAGCTTCATGAAAAGGTCTGCACTCGTCTTTGTCCACAGACTTTTGACAAAAGAGAAACTTTCATACATTTAACTTTAGACACACACTTCAGTATGTGTGAAGTAATTGAACAAAATGCGCCCAACATTTTCCTCCTTTTTTCCCCCTATGGTCTAGACACTCTGAACTACTTAGTTCATTGTCATTCTATTTTTACATTACTTCAGACATCCTCTTTCATTCTGACATCTCTTCCCAAAGCACTTAAGAGGTGTCAAAATGTCTGCACACTTTTTGGCTAAGTAATGGTACACTATAGATTTTCTGAGGTCACTGACAAACTCAGAGAAAACTTTCTAAACCAAGATGTACAGTTTGGCTCCAAGCCCATCCATTCACAAGATTAGGATTATTGGAGAGACTCATTTGGAAGTGGGTGAAGGTTACCGAAAGAATTTTAAACTACGACAGGCTTGTAAGATATGTCGAGTTGCCTTTCAATTTATATGATTTAGTTTCCCAGGGCCTGGACATGCTTTTTAAATGGTGTGAAGATTTTCTGAAAGTTTGAATGGGGGGCAGAATTTATAGGTCCATATGACTCCATAAACCCTCTTTTTAAGCCCTAGTGTTTTTTAGACCTGCATTGTTATAACAATATATATATTGTTTTATATATGTAAAAAGTTAAAATCTCGGGTGTTTTCCCACGTCATTAAAAGTCTGTTAGTTAAAATGCTTAAAATCTATAACAATATAGCTTCTGACATTTTGAGATGGGAAATGGATGAAAACAGTCATGAGGACATGACACACTTCAAAAGCAAAGCATCTCTTTGAGGGAAAATTTTCATAAAATGTTTTACAGATGGCATTTAGATCCCAAGAAATTATCCTGTATGTATCCTAATGTTCAGCCAAAATGTTGGAGATGTGATAGTCTAGATGCTACATATTATCATGTTTGGTGGAATTGCAAGAAAGTCAAGGCTTTTTGGATAAAAATATGGTGGGTTATGCAGAATGTTTTGAAGAAAAAAATTCAATTTTCTCCACAACTGTTTTTATTGGGTATAGTAAAGGGTTTTACATTGGATGAAACTAAGTTGATATTGTACATGATAACAGCAGCGAGATTACTGATAGGTAAATATTGGAAAAATGAAGCCTTACCCACTATTGAAGAATGGACTTTCAAGATGGCCAGTTTTGCGGAGATGGCGAAGATTTCAGCATATTTAAAAGATCGCTCACAAGAGACTTATGAATGGGAATGGAAAAAATGGATAGATTATGTGCAAAAAAAATACCAAGTTAGGAAGTATCAAATTGTTTTTCATTGAAAGTTATATAGAAATAGAAATGTATGAATTGTGAAGAGAGAAAAAATTATAGGGGGCTTGAGGGGTTAAAGTTTTTATTAAAAAAATGGGGATTTTGATGGGATTATATTCTGTGGAAGTCAGAGGGGGAGGGTTAGGGGCGGCTTGGGGGGGTTAGGGTGGGGAGGGAGGGATGGGTTGGGGGGGGAAAGTGGGTTGAAAATGTAATTGTAAAACTTTTGCAATAAAAAAAAAAAAGCAAAGCATCTCTTCAAAATCTCTTTCCCCAAATCCAGCCATACTTATTGATCTGATTTGGTCTTGTTTACTTTATGGTCCTCAGCTCTCCACAAACAAACCTTGGCAATCAAAACTCATTGGCTACCAGTCCCTACTTTATTCTAGGCTGACTGCTGACAATCTGTGTATTCCTATGGCTACAGTTCCTTCCCAGCCTGCCACCCCTCACAAATATCTCCCAGAATTGCTTCCTAATTTACATGCCCATGAAGATTCTCAGTCATCCAGGTCAGAACTGAAGAAGCTTCTTTTTTTTTTCCCCTTTAATTTATATGCCGCCCTTCTCCGGAGACTCAGGGCGGCTTACAATGCGTTAAGCAATGGCCTTCATACTTTTGTATATTTATACAAAGTCAGCTTATTGCCTCCACAATCTGGGTCCTCATTTCACCTACCTTTGAAAGGATGGAAGGCTGAGTCAACCTTGAGCCTGATGGGATTTGAACTTGCAGTAATTGCAAGCAGCAGATGTTAATAACAGTGCATTAGTCCACTGTGCTACCAAGGCTCTTTTCTTGGATGAGAAGCAAAATGTCTTGAAAGAAAAACAAGGAAGTCTAAAATTTACAATTTTAATATTACAGAAGGGGCAAATTGATCTGCAGATGGAAACCATCCTATAAAATATATTTAATTAAACATTTAATTTAGATTTTGATCTGGCTTCACCTATAGCTTTCATCTAATATAACCCCCAGCATGGCAAGGGTGTCCTTGTTTTTTAGGTCCTTGATTCAGGGTGGAAGGAAGGAAGATCATGAGAAAAAAAAAAACATGAACTGGGAAGAAAGGGAGATGATTAGATTTTCTATATAGCAATAGCACTTAGATTTATATACCGCTTCACAGCGCTTTAGAGCCCTCTCTAAGCAGTTGACAGAGTCAGCATCTCGCCCCCAACAATCTACACTACCACTTATTTTTCATATATGTTCTATGCAGCTATCTGATCCATCACCCAAATTCATGCTAAAATAACTCTTGTCCCATGAACAAGATTTAAATGGGATTTTTTTGTGTTCAGTTCTTGGAGACTGCCTTGACATGTCCCTGCAGTTTTCTTGGCAAGGCTTTTCAGATGGGGTTTGCCATCACCCACTTCTTAGAGGGCTCAGAGAAACTGCCTAGGTAACCCCAGCCAGCTTCATGACCAAGGCTGGATTAGAATTTACACTCTCCCATTTTCTAGCCTGGTGTCTTAACTACCACATCAAACTGGCTCTCTAATTTGGAATGCACCTCTCTAAATGGCTTCCAGATAAACAGAGATAGACCACGTAGAACATTCAGTAGAACATAGAAGGGACCTTGGAAGTCCACTAGTCCAAACCAGGGGTGGGTTCTACATTTTTTTACTCCCGGTTATGTGGGTGTGGCTTATTTTGTGGGCGTGGCTTGATGGCCATGTGACAATTATTTAGGATTTAGCAGAGGTACTGGTCTACCAGGCTTTTAACTGCTTGCAGAGCTGTACCGATCTACCCATTTATTTTTTGCAGGCACTGGTCTACCCATTTATTTTTATTTATTTTATTTATTTATTTATTTATTTTATTTCTATACCGCCCTTCTCCCGAAGGACTCAGGGCGGTGTACAGCCTGATTAAAAGCACAAAGACAATTTTAAAATAATTGAAATTATTAAATAATTGGCTCAATTATAAAACCCCCAAATTTAAAATCCCATATTTAAAACCAATTAAAATCTTTACATTGATAGCCTGGCCTGGCGGAACAACAAGGTTTTTTTGTAGGCACTGATCTACTCATGTATTTTTGCAGGCACCGGTCTACTCATTTGTTTTCTTTTAACACTGATCAGCTGTAGGGCGGCCCTTTGAAGCCCAGCGGCAAGAGTTTAAACAGTTTTTTTCCCTCTAGCCATCAGCTGGGACTCAGGAGGCAGCAATAGATTGGGGGTGGGACCAAATAAAAGGTAAGAATAACGCGGGGGTGGGGGGTGGGGTGGGCAGAACCGGTTCGGTGACATCATATCGTCACCGCTACCGTCTCGGGGGAACCGGGCCGAACCGGGAGGAACCCACCACTGGTCCAAACTCTGCTTGAACAGGAGACCCTATACCATTTCAGAAAAATTGTTGTTCAGTCTCTTCTTTGAAAACCTCCAGCGATGGAGCACCTCTGGAGGTAAGCCCTTCCACTGATTGTTTTCTAACTGGTCAGGAAAAAAATCCTTAATTCCAGGCTGGATCTCTCTTTACCAATCTTTCACCCATTATTGTTCTGCTATTCTCTGTGACAGTCCCATAAATATTGGAAGACTGCTATCATGTCACTCCTAGTCCTTCTCTTCATTAGACTAGACATACCTAGTTCCCACAACCATTCATCATAGGATTTAGCCTCCAGACCCCTTATCTTCTTTGTTGTTGTTCTCCTCAACATATATTTTATAACATGGTAGCCAGAAGTGGACATAGTACTCCAAGTGTGGCCTTACCAGTTTTATTTAAGTAGACAACGAACTAATCAGAAATTGTGTACAAGGTGCTAAAAGTGTCTACCAAAGATATAGTTAACTCCTTTAAGTTCAATTGACTATTGATCTTGCCTGGAAGACAAATCAGCTCCATATGAGGTTCAGCCAGAGAACAAAATATCACAGTGATCATCAATTAGGGTTAAACACAATCTTAAGTTACATTGGCTCCAAAAGAACATTAGACAAAGAA